ATACTTTACATAATCTATCACCTTTCTCGTTTGTAATACATTTTAATAAATCTATGCAATCACAATAAGGTAAAATATATTTAAGAAACCAAAAGTCAAGATTTTTTCTAAAATCAACATAAGAAAATCGTTATATTTGTTGAAATTTTTGTTGGAATTTTCTCAATTTCTTGTAGTAAAACTAAGACTCTAAATCTATAAAAAAAAAAAAACGCATTATATATAATATTATGTGCAACTATTATTATGAAATTTTTTGATACGATAGAAAATATAACACATTCAATATAATTGGCGTTCAATCTATGATAAGAATTATTTTTTTTTCAAAGCAAACAAGATACTTTGAAAGGTCCTTAATTATTTTATTAGTATTGTAATAACTAAATGAGGGGTAAGAAAGATGACAAAACTTATAACTCTCATTAAATTCCAAAAGTAAAAATGCTGATAAAATTACTTAATGTACAAAATCAATTGGAACTGGCTAATGATAAATATAAAACATACTTAAGATACACATATATTTTAACTAGAACTTTTAAGTACATAATATATACATATATATATATATATATATATATATATATATTCATATGTATATTTCTTTAAAAGTGGGTATGTTAATCTTAAAATTTTTTAGTTAAGATTTTTATTACTTTCTATCATTAAATTTTTTAATTTTCAAATACTTCATATTTTTTATTTGTTACCTTTTTATATGTAATATATCACATCATTTATTTTCAATGATGTTTGAGTTGACCATATATTGAAATAAAATAAAAATAATATAATTATTTATATTGATATAAAATAATATATATATATATCAGTACTAATTTAAAATAATAAATTAGTCTTAAAGTATATAATATAATAAATTTTATATTCAAGTTAAATGCACCTTAGGGTACAAACGAAGCGAAGCAATGTGAAGTCATAGATAAAAGGAAAGACTAGGCCAGATAAAGAAAATGAAATAACATTAGGTATGTGAAGTCAATTACTGCTGCAAAATGAACCCTATAATGGTGGTACCATATATGTATTCAGTGATTATGAAAATGACTTAGTTAATTAATATTTTATCAAACATTGGAAAAAAATCTAAAACTTTTTAATCTAATAATTCGTATAAAAAGTACAATTTTATCAAATATATTAAATTACATTTAATCTTATGTGATTATATTAATTGTAGCCTAATAAATAAGATAATTTGATATCATCATTATATAAAACACATACAAAAAATAACATAATACGTATAAATGTGTTTTAGTTACTTACCTAATAAAATATTATTTGTCTATAGAATAAGAAACAAATAATATAATAGTAATGCAATTAGAAAAAGAAAACATGCTAATTTTCTTAGAAAAGTATGAATATTAATATTTACAAACAAAAAGTCTTTTAAAATTACTACTTTTTTGTTGCTAGCGTTTAAATATATGGACTCTATAAGAAATTAGTTCTCATAAATAATGATCATATATTATTTATTTTCAATTTTAAATAATTAAAAAATCTAAAAATTTGTATACATGATGTATATTTTAATCATGACTTCATAATAATAAACTTTACAAATGACTAAAAGTATCGTCATATAATGGAATTCTAATTTTTCTGTTGTCAAATATTTTAACAAATGATATACTCTCAATATTTTCTCATTGTTTTGTTTTATCATTGCAAAAAATAGATTATATTGTTCGTCTTATATTCTAGATAAATAACACTGAAAATGAAATGTAGGAGTATCAAAACAGTTTTGAATGTTAGAATTAAGTTGTCACTTTTTATAGAAATATTTATAATCTCATTGGTGTATTGTGCTTGAACATATGTGCAATTATTTTAGAGGTACTTTCAGGTAATGTATGATGATTTCAAAAAATAATTTAGCACATCGGGAGAAGTACATGTAACCAAGATTTTGAAAAGTCAATTTTTATTTGGAGATAAAATTCATTCCCACCTCGTGGGGCGATCATCAATGGGGTAGACACCAATATATATCTAGAGATAGATGAATGTAGTAGTTTATACAGTGATAAAAAAATATGCAATTTTAGTGACATCGTTATTTATTTCATAGAGATATTTATCCTTTGTTAGTAGAAGTACCTTGTTATAAAGATCATACGATCATGAAGTTTGACTACATGTTGGGTTAGAATGTTTTCTTAAGTGTTTGAATAAAATTTGACGTTTTGCCAAATTAATTAAAAGGAATTTTGCAATAGTATTGATGTATTGGACTCCAACGACTATGAATGTTCTTATGAGAACGTTAAAACTAAAATGAAAGAAAATCTTTGTGTTTTTTTATTAGGAATTTGTTTTTTTTTATATATATATTTTTGTTGAGGTTTGTAAAACGTTATTTCACTATTTTTATATGAGGACATCATTATGTTAATTCCAAATAAAAAAAATCACATATGGGTTCATTTTTTCTATATTTTACTTCATTTATGGAATGATATGTTTAATAAATAAATTAATTTATTTTAGAAACTTACTCCGCGAAAATCATTCGACACCACGTGCATCGCACGTGCACTTTACTAGTCTCTTAAAATTCCTGATTGGTTTGTCTGCGAAAGATTATTGGTTCGCATTAAGTCAATACTTATTTGTGTGATGATGAGACAACATTTCATTTTTCTTCAATACGTGTGATGATGAGACAAGTCAATACTTATCCCTCCCTCCCTCCCTATATATTAATTCAAAACGTGTTGAGCCTAGGTGGCAGATTCTCACGCTTCGGATGCTGACATGGCGAAAATCTACGCTTCGTGATGTTGTTTTTATGTTATTTTTGCTTTAGAATTAGGTTTGGTATTAGACATAAATAACTTTACACACAACACTCATGTTGTACATGTGTACTAATACTAGTTCTCTTTGTACCAAAAAAAAAATACTTATTTTCTCTACCCATTTATTGTTTTCTTCCGTGCTTACATTTCAACATTTCATATGTATATATAAAGCTCCCAACAGCCAGTGTGCTATGTACCATACCAACAACATCAGTTCAAATTCAAAGTCCACTTACAATTCTGCAAATTCAGATAATGGCAATGAGTGCACATAAACATTCTATTCTTGCAGCTTTGTTATCAAACGAAATATCCACCGATGCCAACTGCGTCGTGAGTTGGTTGAAATCGTTGAGATGATCGGCCACTGACTTTCGCTCCTCCATTTGCAATTTGAACAGCTTTTTCATCAGCATCACCTTGTTTATTGCTGATGGTTTTTCATACATGTCGGCGAGTGTCTGCAAGACCTCCTTCGTGCTTTTTGCTCCCTTCACATGGTAGGCGACGTTCCGAGAGAGCGAAAGAATTATAGCGCTCATCGCCTTCCGATCGAGCACCTTCCATTCATCATCGCTCATCTTCTCGGGTTTTTCTCCAAGAGGTGCGTAGAGGTCCTTCCCGTACAGGTAAGCCTCCATTTGCATTCGCCAGAATCCAAAGTCGGAACCATTGAACCGTTCGACTTGAATCTTTCCCTCCATATTATCTCCAACCTCCTGGCTCTGATACCAGTTGTTTGAAAATAAGGTCGGATAAGATGGAATAATAACAACACACTAATGTGAAATCAATAAAAGACACGAATATTTGTTAACCCAGTTCGGATTAAATCCTACGTCTGGGGGCGAACCAAGCCAGGAGAATGAACTAGAATAAGAGGATAAATCGAATGTTACAACTCACACAAGCCCGTATGAAAACACTCTTCTCTACTCTTTTCTCTCTCTCTCTCTCTCTCTCTCTTTGTTATGTTTTTCTTGGTTGTGTTTTGCTTCAACTAAATCCCCTCTATTTATAGAGGTGAAATACTGAAAAATTTCTACAAACGTGTGCTTCTTTTTCTTCAACTTTGTGCTGAATAATGTGAACAAAAAATTAGCATGGTTGTTGCACTCTTCCAAGAAATGGGGCTGTCAAATGGTATGGGCTCACCTACCCATTTTTACCTAACAATCTCCCACTTGAGGACTGATTTCAATCTGTCCTCACACCTCATTGATCAACATGTTCATCTCTGCTCTTGGTTTTGCCGGGTTTGTTTTAATCATCGAGGCCAGTCGAAGCTGCACATAGCTTCAACTTTTCCAAATTTACTGTCTTGGTCAACATGTCTGCAGGATTTCTCTCTCCCGAAATCTTTTTCAGCTGCAACACCTTCTTCTCTAGAAGTTGCCGGATGAAATGATACTTAACCTCGATGTGCTTCGTTCGTGAGTGA